AATCTTTCCGAAAGGTAGGATTGATGAGGGGTGAAAATCAATGAGAATGCTCTTCTCATTCTCCGGACCCCTCAACAACTCTTTTCGTGACCAAAGCCCTGTTCTGATGTTCTCAGGCATCTCGTGCATGTTGAAATGCATGCAGGAGTAGATGAACTCGTCATTTCATCACTCAAGTACGGGACCGAAATGTATTATCATCCGTGAGGAGCCCTCGACGGCTCTCCTTGGCTGACACCCCCGGTATCTCATCTTCATACTCCCGAAAATGAGCCAGAAAATCCGGCAGTTTGATAGCATCATTTGTTTTAAAGCGTGGTGCTCCGGCTTTCCATACTTCTAAGTCAAATTGATGCACTGGTCATTTAGTCCCGCCGATGGGTGCAAAAAAACTCTCTTATTTTCTGGGAATCCGACTTGCACTAAACGGAGAGCAGGCCATCGAGCGCCATTGTGCAACTTATAGTGTTGTCCGGGTCGGGCTTCAAGCCCAAGCCCAGGCCCAACCCGAGGCAGGGCTCACGTCGGGCTCAGGGTCGGGCTCAGTTTCTGAGCAGACCCGCGACCCGGGCTTGGGCCCGGCTCTCTTTGAGTTAGCCCGAGTTCAAATTCTTCAAAGGAATTCCACTTTTACTGAACCATCCTTGCTTAAATCTCAGGTTAAATCTGATTTCTACTTGAAATAGACTTACTTGTCTATGTTCAACCATGAAACATAACATCTTGACATTTGATGGGTGTGCCGCATTCAGACTTGTGCTTCAAATGGCCCGCCAGGACAGCAAGTTGGGAATTCCACAGTCTGCGAGGGGTCCTGCCGAGTGAGAAACCCGTTGTATAAAGCTGATGGCGTTTGAAAACTCACCGTAGATCAGTTGAAAAAAATGCAGCCAAGCCCGACCCCCCAATTCAGGTCGGGCTTAAGTTTTTCTCGAGCCCAAGCCCGCCGTGACCCGACCCAAGCCCGACCCGACCCGGCCATCGCTAATTGACCTCCGAAGGCTCTTGGCGCACACACCCAGGGATATAGCACAGTTTTGAGTGGATGAGTACAACTCCCATCAGATATTTCCCCTTATGAATTGATTGCCGCGCTATTCGGCTCTCTGCCGCATCGCGCCGTGGTACGTTGTAGCAGCGACACACTGACCACAATATACATGGTCGTAGTGTGTTTAGGCAGGCAAGCAATTTCTACAATGCATATGCATGCCTATTAGTTATTTTGTCTCATCCAGCTTATTTTGGATTCAAGCCATGTGTAACGAACATGCTCGTCCCTTCGTGACGCCCCCATCAATTACTTTCCTTTTCCTCTTCCTCCGCGTCCACTCCTTACTAATGTCTCGTTTATTATCTAGTTCACACACTCGACGCGTATCCCGTGGAGCGCCGACTTCTCCTTTCCCTCAGTCTCCGTCGGTGCCCGACCGATCTTTGATTCCATCATTATTAGCACCTCGTTAGTATAAAGCCTGTACCCGTAGTCCGGATTCTTTGGTCAATTTACTACTTAAAATAGTCTCTGTGGTCGATTTCCCCAATCCCCAGTGTGTTGGAACTCGTGAACTTACGCTTCCGTCACACCATGGATTGGTTTTTCATGGTCGAACTGACCTTAGGTAAAGTAAAGTACGTTGGGCCAAAGTAATATTTGAACTTCTGCCCTTGACACCCTCAGATATTTTGCTGATTATTCGTCCACTCTTTAAAGCTCAATTCGAGTTTCTCTTGAGTTTCTCGCTGAATTGATGGGTGGATCGACTTAAATTGTCCTCCAAGTCTGACTCCAATATTTCCTTGAAAATTTCATGGGATGTCTGACAAGAGATTCTAGATGAGACTTGAGGGTCTCTCAATTTTTTCTTGTTGTAAGCTTTGCAGCTGCATGGTAGACCTCGGCCTAAGACCTGTCACAAAGGTTTTGTTCGACAAACTGCACTACACTCTGATTCACTGGAAAATGCAATAGCGGGAGAATGAGAGGAAGCAGCACTCCTGAGGCTTGCTGAGGATGCCATGAATATCATTCCTTTAATATTGACCTCTTCACCCAGGTCTTTCAATGCCGTGGCCTGCATCGGGCCGAGCACGGCAGATGGCGGCATCTCATTTAGTCTTTCCGACATGATTGGAGATGTACTCATCCACTACGGACTCGATATAGCACTTATCTCGGATTTCTCCTGTTAATGATCTGTTGCGCTGCGCCGATCAAATAGTACCCGGCCACCGGGTAAATTCCCGATTCCATTTGGATTCCGAGTCCGAGCGGAGCGATTGGTGTCTGCGTTGTATTTATGACTACCTTTCTTCTTCTTCGACCAGCTAGTTATGGCGTCCATCCGTCTGCGCGCTGTATCAGGAGCATCCTTTCTCATCGTTCCAACCGCCGCTGGTACCTCTTTTCACATGGAAAGCTCTGGCAGCGCAAATGGGGCCCATGGTGCGACATGTGTACTGCTAGGTCGACACTCTCACTGAATCAACACATAGATGCACCAGATATCGTGTTGACTTATGTCCCAGAAGGAGTCCGTGTTTCTATCGTGCACCACGGCACCGGGAACAATGTAGCGTCCCCGACGTCCAATTTATTACCCCACGACGACGATCGGACACCTAGCTGGAGATTTCCTGAGCCGGAATCTTTCGATTTCGAAAGCACCGTTGAAGGTTCGAGTGTTATCTAAGCGTCGTGGAGCCATATTAATATTCCAGCGTTCAGATGCAGCCGAATCATCTCGTAACCGAGAAATGCTCGACCAGCTCTCGATATTTCCTCCTGTTTTTCCAATGGCGACATCCGATTTTCTAATGAGTGCATTCGACAACACGAACCCCGAATTTAACTCGGAAGATTTGAACGCAAACTGGAGCTATGTGACTGGTGAGCAGGTCCATATCTCCTTATTGCCCACTTGAACGCTTTGGTCAGATTTGCTCTCCGGGGACTCGCCAGTGATAGTTAGCCGGTCCGAGTCTTCGCTTGGGGAAGTCAGTTCCAGCTCGGTAGCGGACTGCGACTCTCCAAGCCCCGCTACCGAGGGTGCTTCGCAATCGCAGGCAGGGCCCCCAATCAGAGGGCTACCCTGCCGAATCCCTGGGTGCGGTCGTCTATGTCTACGAGAACATACGCGAAGAAAGCACGAAGAAGCGCATGCGTCCAAAGCACCGCTATCCTGCAGCGAGCCAGGCTGCAGTACCACCTTCTCGCGGCCGCATGATAAGCTTCGGTGTGTTTCGTTGAACCTCCTGCTGCTGAACGCTAAAATTCTGGAAGACACGAAGTGCGGAAACATGGTCATCCCTGCCATACGTGCAGCGTGTGCAACAACCTCTTTTCGCACGCGAGAGGATTGGAGAAGCACAAATGTCAAACCACGAAAACCCGTGGCGGTCATCGTTCAATCTAGCAGCTATTTTATTTTCTAGACAATCATCAGCTCACACAGTTTAGAAGTGAAGCCTTGTATCATATCTTGTTAAACTGTAGTCCTACTGCACAAATACTTTTAGACGATCGGGGTTGGACCAGAACCAGGAGCTCAAGCCTACTGCGCGGAGGAGGTGAATCTCCAATTTGTATTTCCTTGCGAAATCTCTTTGTAGAATGACCGTGTCCGCATATGCAGACGCGAGGAGTTGAACCCCTTCAACTGCATGCACTCTATTGAAGACTCGCTCGCTCGCTCTTCATTTATTGCAGCGGTGTGCCCTACATCACGTCCGCTTCCTCTTTCCATCCCCCTCTTCAATATTAATCTCGGTACAAAATATTCTTTTTTGGAATGGAAGAAAAAATTCAACTGCCACGGGCCATGCGGACGCGGGAGTCGAATCCCGTTCAACTGCGTAACCTGCCTTCTTCTTCTTGAAATTAGAACTTGGTGCAGCGGTGTACCCTACACCACATCCGCTTTTCTTCTCCATTCCGATTCCACTCTCGTACATACCTTTGTATTCTTTGGTTGGATTCCGCAGCTAAAAAAATGAATGGTGACCGATATGCGGACGCGGGGAGTCGAACCCCATCAACTGCGTGGTAGTTGTCGAGTTGAAGTCCATTTATTGCAGCGGTGCGCCGTGCACTACGTCCGCTTGCCTTTTCCCTACCCTCGTACGTATGCACCTGTTCCTTTGGTTTGATTTCGCAGCTAAAACATTGTATGGTGACCGACATGCGGACGCGAGGAGTCGAACCCCAGCCAACTGCAGGGCAATAGATCACAGTGTAATCGAATGCAGCCATGCATCATACACCACATCCGCTCCCTCTCTGCCGTCCAGTGTTCCCTACCTCCTCCTCTTGCACCTTCTCTGAATTTATTTATTATCTATTTACTCCCCTCGGCGCAAGTTGAACACCCACACCAAATCGCCGCGGGGCGTCGAACCCCTTCAACTTGGAACTCAATTACCCCCGCCTCTCCACGCCCTAAGGCCTAATTCCCCACCCAGCCCAACACTCATTCGCGATCCATTTCAGAAAGAAAAAAAGGATTGTTGCAAAGAGGCCATGCGGACGCGGGGAATCGAACCCCAGCCAACTGCAGGGCAAGAGATTTCGAATGCAGCCGTGCACCATATACCACGTCCGCTTGCCCTTTCCCGTCCACCCTCATACGTATGCATCTATTCATTTGGCTGCATTTCAGACTCAGTAAAAGAAGAAAAGTGGACAATGATGACGACTAGGCGGACATGGGGAATCGAACCCCTTCCACTGCTTGGGATCCGGACTCCATGACTTCTTGGTCCATTCAATGCAGCGGTGCACCATACACCACATTCGCTCCCCCTCCACCTTTCATTCCTCCTCCTCTTGCACCTCCTCCGAACTTATTTATTCACTCTCCTCGTCGCAGTTGAACCCCCTTTCACACTAAATCACCGCGGGGAGTCGAACACCTTCAACTGCTTAGAGCGCGGTTACCCCATGACTCTCAGCTTAGCATTATTCACGATCCCTTTCAGAAAAAATCTCTGGGAACTGGCTATGCGGACACGGGGAATCGAACCCCGTCCAACTGCTTCAAGACGATTTCGAACAGCTGTATGCAGCGGTGTGCCCTACACCACATCCGCTTCCTCTCTCTATCCCCACCCTCAATCTCTCAGCCCAAAATATTCTCTTTTGGAATGGAAGAAAAGACTCATCTGCGCCAACTCATGCGGATGCGGGGAATTGAACCCCATCAACTGCGTGGCACTTATTTCAATCCTTATTTATTGCAGCGGTGCGCCGTGCACTACGTCCGCTTGCCCTTTCCCTCCCACCCTCATATGTATCCACCTATTCCTTGGTCGCATTTCGGACTCAGTAAAAAAAGAAAAGTGGATAACAAAGATGACTAGGCGGACACAGGGAATCGAGCCCCCCCAACTGCTTGGAAGTCCACCACCTCTCCATTTACAGCTGTTCTCGAAAATGATGACACTACGTCATGTTTTTTTTCCGAGCGTTCCCGATCAGGTTGGGCCCGATTTGGATGTTTGAGTCCCCGATCGTCACCAAACAACGCGTCTCGTCTCCCGCCCCGACGTTACTGCCAAATCCCACTGCCTGTTGAAGGCTGCGCTTGCATAACACTTGCTTCTCGATTGCCCTGGACCCTCAGCCATAGCCGCGGCGTCATTCACATGGTTTATCGCAAGATCAGTCGAGATTTGAAGGATGCTGCTTTGCGGCTTTGGGACCTTGGCTGGGAAGAGGGAGACATCATGCAAGCATTGGTGGTCTCTCGTTCGAGTCTCTATCGATGGAAGAAGATTTTCGAAGAACTAGGAACCTCGGAAAGACCACCATCCCCCCTTCGCGGCCGACCCCGCATACTCACCTACGCAATCCTCTCCGCCTGCCATGAAATTTACCAGAAGGAGCCTGATGTATATCTTGAGGAGCTGCGCTGGTACCTCGCCATACACCGCGACATCGTCATCTCCACCTCCGCGCTGCAAAAGAATATTGACGACGTCGGATTGACCCGGAAGCTACTCCACAAGATCGCCCGCGAGCGTGAGAAACAACAGCGAGACGATTATTGGGAGGTCATCAACAACGATCTTGCGGGCGACAGCGACATGCTAATCATGGCAGATGAAACAAGCAAGAACGATCTCACTCTTGCGCGGAGATATGGACGAGCACCTGCCGGCATGCGCGCTGACTTCACCTACAACTTTGTCCGTGGTGAGCGCTATAGTGTTGGAGCGGCTATGTCGAAGGAAGGATATTTGGCAGTCAAGGTGGTGCCGGGATCTTTTGATTCCTTTGATTTCTTCGATTTTGTCGCAGAACAAGTGGTATGAGCCATTCCTTGCTGCCGTTCATACAATACTCAATTCCATTCCAGCTCCCCCTTATGAATGAATGGCCGCAGAAGCATAGTGTATTGGTGCTCGACAATTGTCGTATCCATCACAACGATGCCTTGCTGGAGCTGATCTCGGCAAACAGTGCGCGCTAATCCCTGTATCTTTTCTACCCGAACGTCTAACATCTTCGACATCAGAGTCTCTCCTTCTCTTTCTTCCTCCATACTCGCCGGACCTGAATCCCATTGAGGAGTCGTTCAGTACGCGTAAGCATTCTTTCCCTACTCGACGGGCAGCCTCTGAATGTGAAATCCATTAGTCAAGGCATACATGCGCCGTCACGGCTCGGAGATGCTTGTGGCTGCGGACCCTATAGCGGCAATCATGGAGGCTTGTGCCTGTGTAACTGCCGACATGGCTTGTAACTGGTTCATACATGCTGGATATCAATAGAATGAGGTTGTTCAATTGTACACTAGACAGCTGAAACATGTGATGGGTATGGAAAACAAATGCGCGATAACAAAGAGGATAAACGAGAGTGCAAAAGACATCAGTCCCACTTTCCCTTCGACACATCGTCCAAAAATGCTGCGTGCTGGCGTAGAATTCGGCCTCTCGCAAGCGGCGAAACCTTGGTCGCCTTCCAATCACTGTCCGTCAAGTCATCAATCCCACTGTCACCGGGTATATAACCGAGCTCGCTCAGCACGCGGCGGTCGTCGGGAGTGGTTTTGTAGCGGTCAAAATATTCCTCGATTGAAATGTCGCGAGGAAGGGCCGCGACGGGCAGCTGTAGAGGCTGTGCTGGCGCTGGTTGAGGTTGAGGAGGGATAGCGAAGCCAAAGGGTTGCGCGGGGGCGTGATGAGGCTGGGGCATGTGTCCATATGGCGAAGGCAGAAACATCGGGTTCATCATGTTTAGCATGTTGGGATTGGTGAATAAGAGGCTCAAAAGAGAGTCACTGGTCAATACTGGAGCTGGGGCAGGGGTAGGGACGAGAGCTGCGGCAGGAACAAGAGCATTGTCAGCTTTAGGAGGTCGGATCGTCTGATTTTTAGCGAAATGATTTGAAACGGGTGGCTTCTCGATTGTGGCGATCCCTTTGGCCTATGTATATGCGTCAGAAAAAAAGATTGAATGCAAAAATGGTCAGATTTACACAGGCGACAGACCACACACGGAGTTTGATATCGGTAAGATCAAAATAGCCGGTCTCGTTATGATATATCCGCTTCCCGGGGAATAACGGACAGTTGTCGACTGGGTAGGCTTCAATCAATTGAACAAAGTATGGGTTGGACGAGTTATCGATGCCCGCCTACAAACCAAGCTTGTTAGTAGGAACTGATGGAAGGAGAGGCTACACACGATTTGCTGCCGTATGGAAAGGGCTGAACTCGGTCCGGCAGCCGCCCCATCAAGATTATACTCGAAATTGAGTGGTGCACCGCCGCCGTTACCTTCGTCTTCGTCGATTTTCCAGGGCTAAAAACTAGCATCAGGCAACACAGGATAACCGAAGTCAGAACATAGCACATACCAATTCTTTCTTGACGGCGGTCGGAGGCGGCATGAAGACACTGAAAACGAAGTCTTTGTGGCGGTCGACTAGGGATTTGATCATAACTTTGTATGCTGTTTCATTGGAAAGCGTTTTTGACTTGGCGTTGTTAGGACGGTCGAATTTCCATGTCATGTCGGAGAGGGGGAGATTTTCGGCTTTGGTGCGACATCCCTTAGCGAGCATCTCGAGAAAATCTTCATAGGAGATCGAAGACTTGAAGAGCCAGGGTCCCAGCTCTGTAGATTGGGGAGGAAGGGGTTTGGCGGGCCGACCTCGAACGGCGAGAACTGGGGGCGCTGGAGTTTGAACGTAGAGATAGACTGACATGTCGACCGCCTCAACAGGCTCATCATCGTCGTCGTCCACTTTCGCCGTGTGCTTGACTTTCCTCTTCTTCTTCTTCGTCGGTTTGTCGTCGAGGACCTCGATGGACGAATCAGATTCGGCTTCTTCCGTGAGCTTGCGCTTTTTGGGCTTGTTGGGGGACGGAAGCGGCGAGAATGCTGCCTTCTTGGACCCGTTGGAGTCGGGCTTGAAACGGAACCAACGATTGCGAACTTGAGAGATAGTGTTAGATGCGCCGGATCTAGCAGAGATGAAAGACACACCGTCGGGATCTAAACCTTCAACTACATCTCTCACGTCCTGGTGAACCCTTTGGACCTCCGAATCCTTGCTTCTGGGAGGCATCTCAGGGAGCGTGCGCGCAAGGGAACGAGAGCAGACGAAGAGGACGCGGGAAGCGAAGAGGACGCGTTGTTTGGTGACGGCAAACATCCAAATCGGGCCCGACCTGATTGGGAACGCTCGGAAAAAAACATGACGTAGTGTCATCATTTTCGAGAACAGCTGTAATGCAGCTGTGGACACACCACATCCGCTTCCTCTCTCCATCCCCACCTTCAATCTCTCAGTACAAAATATTCTTTTCTGGAATGCAAGAAAAAAACGAACTGCGAGGAACCATGCGGACGCGGGGAATTGAACCCCATCAACTGCGTGGCACTTATTTCAATCCTTATTTATTGCAGCGGTGCGCCGTGGACTACGTCCGCTTGCCCTTTCCCTCCCACCCTCATATGTATCTACCTATTCCTTGGTCGCATTTCGGACTCAGTAAAAAAGAAAAGCGAACAACGAAGATGACTAGGCGAACACGGGGAGTCGAACCCCTCCAGCTGCATGCACTCCATTTTCTCTCCATTCAATGCAGCCGTGCACCATACACCACATCCGCTCCCTATCTAGCTTCCAATTTTCCATACCTCCTCTTGCACCTCCTCTGAATTTATTTATTATCTATTCCTTCCCCTCGTCGCAAGCTGAACACCTTTTCACACCAAATCACCGCGGGGAGTCAAGCCCCACCAACTGCTTGGAGCTCAATTACCCCTGCCTCTCAGCTCAACATTCATTCACGATCCATTTCAGAATGAAAGTAAAAAGAAGAAAGGAATGGACCATGCGGACGCGGGGAATCGAACCCCGTCTAACTGCTGCAAATTCTATGTGAACAACTAATTAACGCAGCGGTGCACCATACACCATGCCCGCTTCCTTTCCAAGCTCTACCTTCAATTCTTATGTATCTAACCTGCGCCTGGTTTCCTCAAGGTTTCCTCCTCCTCGTCGCCTTTCACATCAAATCACACCCTCCACGAAATCAGTGATCCAATCACTCTCTCTTGCCGTTACTGAGCCACTCCTCACCCTCCTCCCATCCTTCTCCAACCTCCCCACCCCCCCTCATTGCCTCCTTGTCCCCAGCAAACCGGCCCCATTCACCCGCACGACACAATTCTCATATCATACATTTTATTTGCCCCTCCCTCGGGCTACGACTACGGCTACGCTACGACCAGTGCTATCCTACAGCTAATCTACAAAAGAGTCCATCTTCACGTTCGTTCGCCTATAAACACAACACCACCACCACCAAAAAAAAGACACCGAGACGAGACGAGGGAATGGATGGACGAGGCCACGAGACCGAGGCTGAGAGACCGAGGCTGAGAGAAGACGGATGAAGAGGCGGGATATAGGATGCGGGATCGGGGTAGCGGAATGGCTGAAGGAATCAAGGAAGGAACGCGGGCGCAGGGCGTAGGGAATGCGGGGGTAGAATCTGCGCGGACCAGGGAACGTGGATATAGGATGCTGCCGCCTTCACTCTCCTCCGCCCTAAAACCCCGTCCCCCCAACAACACCCCCAACAGTCGCCGCCCGCCCGCGGCCCACCCTCCCCGCGCCCCCGATACTGCTCATGGAAGACGCCGCCTCCAACTGCGCGAACGGCGACGGCGGGTGCGAATGCGCGAACGCCCCCACAGGCGACCCCCCCTGCACGAACCCCGCCGGCGAGAAAGACGAGGGGGAATGTGCCTGCCCCTGCCCAAACACCCCCGCCCCCGCCCCCGCCCCCGCCCCAAGCGGGCTCGACATCATCCGCAGCGGACTCGACATCATCCGCAGCGGCATCGGCACCGACATCCCCATCTGCATCGACGTCGCCGGCTCGACCCACCCGCGCAGCCTTCCTCCCCCGCCCGCTCCTCCCCCTGCGCCCCCGCCCGTAACCGCAGACGCAGAAACAGACGCCGCAGAAGCAGAAGTAGGAGGCGCGCCCAAATAATACTCCACCTCCATCGCCTCCTCGCTGCTCGACGCGACCAGCAGCTCCCCCAGCTCCCTCAGCGACGCGTGTGCGTGCGCCCCCACGAGGTGCCCGCGCGCGTCGTACGGCGTCTGCCCCTCATTGCCGTGCTGCTGCTGCGGCTGCTGATTTTGCTGCTGGTGCTGATGCTGGTGCGCATACCCCTCCGCGCCGGCGCTCTGCGGCCTCGACCTACGCGGCGAGTCGTGCCCCGCGGCGTCAAACTCTCCAAACCGCTGGCTGGATGCAGCCGAGACGGCGCTCAGCGGCGGCGTCTCGTACCCTCCGCCCCCGCCGCCGCCGCTGTCGTACGGGTGGTGCGGCGAGTACGCAGAGGTGGAGCCGGGGGGGTGCGGAGAGTAGGCCGAGGGATGCGGGGAGTATGCGGATGCGGGCGCGGAGCCGGGGTGCGAGTGCGAGTTTGGGTGCGGGTGCGGGGAGTACGCAGCGGGCGAATGGGAGTGGGCGTGGGCAGGGTGCGAGGCGTGGGCGGGCGTGGGGCCACGGAAGAGGGGGAAGGAGCCCGAGACAGCGCTGGCGGGGCTAAAAGCGGAGGCTAGTCAGTGAGTGTTTTCGGCGCGAATGGAGGATCAAAGACAGAATGCAAGAAGACAGGCGAGATGCAGATGCGGCGGAAAACGACCACCCGCTGGAGAAGAGCCTCTCGCCCCTCGCCAGAAGACGAGGAGGACTGAGTGGACCGTCGCACGTCCCAATCCCCAGTCCTGGGAAACCCGACACCGACACCGACGGACAGACGCGGCACCCTGCCAGGAACGAGGCGCACTACCGACACCGCGCGGTGCAAAGGCCTGCGGATAACAAAAGGCAAAAAAATATGGCTCGCGCGCGAGCGCGCTGCGTCGACTGACGACCCGGAAGAAAAGAGATCCTCGCCAGAAGATGACACGGACGCGGCGCAACCTAACGACAAACACCCACGCGCAGGCTCCAGCCACCGACCCCAGCGACACGACACGTCCAAAGAAACAAGTCGTCCGAAACCAAAACCGAAACCGACACCCCCAATACCAAAACCCCCCTCCCCAAAAAAAAAGAGACGACTCGAAGAAAAGAGAAACGCACCCCGACTGATCATCAAAACTCGAGCGCGAGCTCTCCGTCCCGCTCCCGCTCCCGGTGCCGCTCCCGCTGCCCGACGCCGAGCTCGGGCGGCTCCTCCCCCCTTCTCTCACGCCATTGCTGAACCCCAGCCCGAGCCCGAGCCCGAGCCCGAGCCCAGCGAGCGGCTGTTGATCAAAGCGCGTGTCAAGCCGCGGGTCGATCCGGGTGTCGAGCCGATGGTGCTCGTGTGCCGGGTCGAGGTAGCCCGCCTCGAGCGGGAAGTGCGCCTTCTCCCCGCCGGCACCGGCGTCGAGGGGGAAGTGTTTCTCTGCGTCGAGGGGGAAGTGCTTCGCGAGGGGGACGAGTTTGTGGGAATTAGGGTTGGGACTGGCGTGCGCGTGGGCGTGGCGGGCGTCGAGGGCGCGGTTGTAGGCGTCGTAGCCGAGCTCGCCGGCGTAGCTGTCGTAGCTCCCGCGGCGCGAGTCGGCGTTGTCGGCGGGGTCGTACCTCCCTGCATCTTCGTAGCGCGCCTCGTAGCGCCCGTCGTATCTGCCAGACTCGTACCGCGCGTCGGGGTCGGGCTCGTACCTCGCCTCGCCGTACCGCCCCGCCTCGTACGGCGGGCCGAGCAGGCCGAGGTCGAGCGCCGCGGGGAGCGAGAGGCGCTTCGGGTGCGGGTGGGGGTGCGGGAGGGCGAGCGGGCGGGTGGAGGCGAGCGGAGCGGGGGCAGCGAGCGCGGTGTTGCGGCGCCTGCGGCCGTGGGGTGCGGGAGGCTTGAGGCTCGTGAGCAGGCTGTAGGGGAGCGGCGCGGGCGAGTGCGAGGCGGAGCTGGAGCCGCGCGCACGGGGACCGGCCTTGTTGGGCCCGCGCACGCGGCCTTCCTTTGCGTACTCGCAGGCGAGGCCGCGGGCGAGGCAACGCGCGCAGGCGGGGTGGTCGCCGGAGCACTGCCGTGGGGTTAATCGTGGCTACGCGGGGACGAGGGGATACGAACCTTTGCTTTCCTCGTGCGGCACTTATCGCAGGCCTGTGCTGTGCGGAGACGCGGGTGCTCTGGGGTGCGGTAGAAGATGCCGGTGGTAGGGTCGAGGCTGCCGGCGAGGGTGATGCGCGGCTGCGGCGGCGGCGCGTCGAAGCCCCAGCCCGCCGCGTAGTGCCCGTGTCCAGTCGGCGCATAGTCCATCGAGTACAAGTCGCCCATCGTGAAGAGTCGAAGAGGAGAAATCGAATTTGGGTCTTGGGTGTGTCTGTCTATTTAGCGGGGCATTCCCGATCGGGCACCCGAGGAGCCTAATTGCATATTCCCAAACAGTCAATATCAAATTTGATCCGCGGCGAGACAGCGAGCTGCATCGGGCGCAACTTAATCTGTAGTAAGCACTGGCCACCGGCCACCCACCGCGTAATCAACTCCCCGTCGAGGCGAGTACGAGCACACTCTTCTGTGCCTTCGCGAGCTTAAAACTCTTTGTGCCCGAATGGGAATCGCACCATCTCGCGGGAGAGCCCCGGCGACGCCCTAAGTCGCCGGCGGCGATCTGCATGCCGTTGCCCGCAGATCGCAGCCTCCGCGTGCGTCATTACTGCATTATTTTCTTGGCCGGCACTTAGAATGCAAACCGTTGCTCAGATCGACGCATTTCAGTGCTGTCATGTCCCCGTGCCCGATCGCCCTCACTCAGTGTTCTTTTCCTTCATCATCATCATCATCGTCGCCTTCATTGAATCTGCATTTCTGGGCATAAGATGGGACGTCCCCCTGAGTCGACGCAACAAGCTGACGTCGACAGCGCCAGGCCCACTTATTCATGCCCAGACCTCATATGGCCGCCGCAATGCGATGCCTCCGAGTCAGCCTGTCTCTCCCCTCCCCTCCCAATATCTCGCCCTCTCTCTGTCCCTTACATAGGCACATTCATCCATCGAAGTCGGGGGATCCCACGCCCCAATCGCCCCCCGCGCCACCGCCACCCTCCCTTACGCATCCTCCCTTACGCATCCCGCTTATTCATTCGCCCATTCGCGGTGTGAGTAACCGAGAGGATGAATGAATGAGATTGGATCGACGGGGTGCTCATCCATCCATTCATTCGATGCATGTCAGTGCACGCACGTACGCCGCGGTTCCACCAGGAACGTTCTCGGCAGGGGAAGCCCCGCGGAGCCGAGCCGCCCCGTCTCCGTGCCCTTCTTCCCGTTCCTTCTGCTACGCGTGGACGAGGCCTCTGTCTTCCAAGTATCCCTTCCCGCCTGCCCCAATAACGCGAATACCACGTATTGTTTCGTGGTGTATTATACCCAGCCTCGACCATCGTGTTTAAAGTGAATAAAATAAAATAAAATTGCCTGGCATACCTCGCCCTAGCCTGCTGTCCGGTATATCCAAGCGTAGGACAGAGCAAGGAAGCGGACGTAGTGCACGGCGCACCACTGCCTTCTATAGTTTTTCGAGACGTGAATGCAAGCAGTGAACGGGGTTCGACTCCCCGCGTCCGCCTTCTCTTGCTAATTCTAGCTTTTTTGAGCATTCCACAAGCGACAGGAATCCGAATAAATGGAGGAATAGAATGAAAGGAGAGATCGGACGTAGTGCACGGTGCACCACTGCCTTCTGTAGCTCGAACGAATGCTTATTTGCAAGCAGTCGATGGATTCGACTCCCCGCGTCCGCCTTGGTATGCCCTCTGGTGATTTTTTTTTACCTTTCGGAATGCAACGCAAAAAGCCGAATGAGTGAGGTGCAGGGAGGGAGGTAGGAAACGGACGTAGTGCACGGCGCACCACTGCACTCTATGTTGTCCATTGCCACGAGTTGCAAGCAGTCGAGGGGTTCGACTCCCCGCGTCCGCCTTGACCATCCAACCCCTCATTTTTTCATTCACAGCTCGAATAAAATCATCTGAGTTAGAGGGAAGGAAAGGAGGTAGGAAACGGACGTAGTTCACGGCGCACCACTGCATTCTATATCTGTCTGGCATAATACGATGCAAGCAGTGAATGGGGTTCGACTCCCCGCGTCCGCCTTCATGAATTCTCCCCATTCTTTTACTCACAGCCTGAAGAAATCATCTCTGTCAGAAAGGAGAAGAAAGGAGGGAGGGAGCGGACGTAGTGCACGGCGCGCCACTGCACTCTATAGTTCGTCAACGTGCCAATGCAAGCAGTTGAACGGGGTTCGAATCCCCGCGTCCGCCTTCCTGCATCCGTCCCACTTTTTGGCTCAGAGTCCGAATAAAATTATCTCAGTTGGAAGGGAGTGGAATCGAGATAGGAAGCGGACGTAGCGCACGGTGCACACCTGCCTTATGTAGCTCGAACGAATGCTTATTTGCAAGCGGTCGATGGGTTCGACTCCCCGCGTCCGCCTTGTGCCTTCACTACTCATCTCTTTTTCGGTCCCAGCTCGAATAAAATTATCTGAGTTGGATGGGAATGGAAAGGAGGTGGTAAGCGGACGTAGTGCATGGTGTACCACTGCCTTCTGTAGTTGGAACCGACGCTTATTTGCAAGCAGTTGAGGGGTTCGACTCCTCACGTCCGCCTTGCTCGCCGTTACGGCTCTTTTTTTCGTTCACAGTCCAAATAAAATCATCTCAGTTAGAGGGAAGGAAAGGAGGTAGAAAGCGGACGTAGTGCATGGTGCACCACTGCAATCTATGATTCTTCCATAAATGCAAGCAGTTGAGGGGTTCGACTCCCCGCGTCCGCCTGGCCATGTCCCCTTCGCCTTTTTTCTTGTTCAGAGTCAGAATAACGTCCTGGTTGGACATAGATTGAGGGGAGGTGATAAGCGGACGTAGTGCACGGTGCACCACTACCTTCTGTAGTTGCCGGCGAAGGGTGTTTGCAAGCAGTGAACGGGGTTCGACTCCCCACGTCCGTCCTAGCCGTTGCTACACTACTTTTTTACTCATAGTCTAAAAAATGTTATCTCAGTTAGATGGAAGTGGAAAGGAGAGGGTAAGCGGACGTAGTGCACGGCGCACCGCTGCCTTCTGTAATTGGAACGCATGCTATTTGCAAGCAGTTGACGGGGTTCGACTCCCCGCGTCCGCCTAGCCGTTCTGTCAAGATTTTTTCCCTTTCGGAATGCAACGCAGAGGGCCGAATTAGTAAGGTGCAGGGAGGGAGGTGGAAAGCGGACGTAGTGCACGGCGCATCACTGCACTCTATATTTGTTCGGCACAATAAGATGCAAGCAGTGAATGGGATTCGACTCCCCGCGTCCGCCTTCCTCCGCCCCCCACCCCATTTTTTTGCTCACGGTTCGAATAAAATTATCTCAGTTAAAGGGGAAAGGGATGGAGAAAGGAAGCGGACGTAGTGCACGGTGCACCACTGCCTTTAATTGAGAGATTGTCGAAGGATTGCAAGCAGTTGAGGGGTTCGACTCCCCGCGTCCGCCTTGAGCCTTCACTACTCATCTTTTTTTCGGTCCCAGCTCGAATAAAATGATCCGAGTTAGAAAGGAATGGAATGTGTAAGGGAAGCGGACGTAGTGCACGGGGCACCACTGCACTCTATGTTGTCCATTACCACGAGTTGCAAGCAGTTGAGGGGTTCGACTCCCCGCGTCCGCCTCGCCCAATGCTACCCTTCTTTTTTTTTCTTTCACAGTGCAAATAGATTATCTGAGTTGAGGGGAACAGGAAGGGAGGTAGGAAGCGGACGTAGTGCACGGCACACACCTGCCTTCTATGATTTCTGCAGTTGCAAGCAGTTGAGGGGTTCGACTCCCCGCGTCAGTCTTGGCCTTTGATACCTCTCTTTTTTTCTTCGCAGTCCGAATAAATTATCTTCAATTAGAAAGGAAAGGAATGGAGGTAGGAAGCGGACGTAGCGCATGGTGCACCACTGCACTCTACTGTGATCATGACTACGAGTTTCAAGCAGTCGAGGGGTTCGACTCCCCGCGTCCGTCTTGGCTTTGACTTCCCTTTTTTCGCTCTCAGCTAGAATGAAATTATCCGAGTTGGAAAGGAAAGGAATGGCGGGAAGAACCGGACGTAGTGCACGGCGTACCACTGCCTTCTGTACTCGAGGAAGAATGCAAGCAGTCGAGGGGTTCGACTCCCCACGTCCGCTTAAGCCTGGATATTCTTTTTCTCTCAAACTGGAGACACAATTATCTCAGTTATATGGGAGAGGAAGAGAGGTAGGAAGCGGACGTAGTGCACGGTGCACCACTGCATTCAATTATTATGGAGAAATTTGAATTGCAAGCAGTTGAGGGGTTCGACTCCCCGCGTCCGCCTTTCCGGTAGGGCTACTTTTTTTTTGCTCGCAGTCCGAATAAAATTATCTGAGTTAGAAAGGAATGGAATGGAGATAGGAAGCGGAGGTAGTGCACGGCGCACCACTGCACTCTATACATGTTTGAGATTTTCAGTTGCAAGCAGCTGACGGGGTTCGACTCCCCACGTCCGCCTTGCTCGCCGTTACAACTCTTTTTTTTTCGTTCACAGTCCAAATAAATCATCTCAGTTAGAGGGAAGCAAAGGAGGTAGAAAGCGGAGGTAGTGCACGGCGCACCACTGCCTTCTATTCGGACGCTGGAAAGGTTGCAAGCAGTGATTGGGGTTCGACTCCCCACCTCCGCCTAGCCAGATTGCGTTGACCTTTTTTCTTGTTCAGAGCCAGAATAACGTCCTGGTTGAGCATGGATTGAAGGGAGAGAGGAGGCGGACGTGGTGCACGGCGCACCACTGCATTTGATTACTGAGGCGGTGTAAAGCTACAAGCAGTCGAGGGGTTCGACTCCCCGCGTCCGCCTTGCTCGCCGTTACAACTCTTTTTTCGTTCACAGTCCAAATAAAATCATCTCAGTTAGAGGGAAGGAAAGGAGGTAGGAAGCGGACGTAGTGCACGGCGCACCGCTGCACTCTATATTATCCATGACTACGAGTTGCAAGCAGTCAAGGGGTTCGACTCCCCGCGTCCGCCTGAGCCAATGCTCGACCGCTTTTTTTCGTTCACAGTCTGAGAAAAGATACCTCAGTTGGAAAGGAAAGGAATGGAGGGAGGAAGCGGACGTAGTGCACGGCGCACCACTGCCTTCTATAGGTTGTCGACACGCAAATGCAAGCAGTGAATGGGGTTCGACTCCCTGCGCCCGCCTCCTCCCTTTGATCCAATCCCTCTTTTTTTTTCGTTCACAGGCCAAATAAAATCATCTCAGTTAGAGGGGAAAGGAATGGAGGTAGGAAGCGGACGTAGTGCACGGCGCACGACTGCCTTCTATGATTTCTGCAGTTGCAAGCAGTTGAGGGTTCGGCTCCCCGCGTCCGCCTTTCTCCATCCAGCCCCCCACTTTTTGCTCGCAGCTCGAATAAAACTATCGGAGTTAGAAAGGAAAGGAATCGAGAGAGGAAGCGGATGTAGTGCACGGTGCACCACTGCACTCTATAACTCATCAACCTGACAATGCAAGCAGTCGAGGGGTTCGACTCCCCGCGTCCGCCTAACCATATCTCGTTGATCTTTATTCTTGTTCAGAGTCAGAATAACGTCCTGGTTGGACATGGATTGAGGAGAGGTAGAAAGCGGACGTAGTGCACGGTGAACCACTGCATTCAATCATAATGGAGAAATATGAAATGCAAGCAGTTGAGGGGTTCGACTCCCCGCGTCCGCCTTTCCGGTAGCGCTACTTTTTTTTGCTCGCAGTCTGAATAAATCATCTCAGTTAGGAGGGAGAGGAAGGGAGGTAGGAAGCGAACGTAGTGCATGGTGCACCACTGCACTCTATATTGTCCATGACTACGAGTTGCAAGCAGTGGAGGGGTTCGACTCCCCACGTCCGTCTTGGCTTTGACTTCCCTTTTTTCGCTCTCAGCTAGAATGAAATTATCCGAGTTGGAAAGGAAAGGAATGGCGGGAAGAACCGGACGTAGTGCACGGCGTACCACTGCCTTCTGTACTCGAGGAAGAATGCAAGCAGTCAAGGGGTTCGACTCCCCACGTCCGCTTAAGCCTGGATATTCTTTTTCTCTCAAACTGGAGACACAATTATCTCAGTTATATGGGAGAGGAAGAGAGGTAGAAAGCGGACGTAGTGCACGGTGAACCACTGCATTCAATCATAATGGAGAAATATGAAATGCAAGCAGTTGAGGGGTTCGACTCCCCGCGTCCGCCTTTCCGGTAGCGCTACTTTTTTTTGCTCGCAGTCTGAATAAATCATCTCAGTTAGGAGGGAGAGGAAGGGAGGTAGGAAGCGAACATATTGCATGGTGCACCACTGCACTCTATATTGTCCATGACTACGAGTTGCAAGCAGTGGAGGGGTTCGACTCCCCGCGTCCGCCTGAGCCAATGCTCGACCTCTTTTTTTCGTTCTCGGTCTGAGAAAAGATATCTCAGTTGGAAAGGAAGGGAATGGAGAAGGGAAGCGGACGTAGTGCACGGCGCACCATTGCCTTCTATCGAGAAGTACGTTGCCAGATGCAAGCAGTTGACGGGGTTCGACTCCCCGCGTCCGCCTAGCCGTTCTGTCAAGATTTTTTCCCTCTCGGAATGCAACGCAGAGGGCCGAATTAGCAAGGTGCAGGGAGGGAGGTGGAAAGCGGACGTAGTGCACGGCGCATCACTGCACTCTATATTTGTTCGGCATAATAAGATGCAAGCAGTGAATGGGATTCGACTCCCCGCGTCCGCCTTCCTCCGCCCCCCACCCCATTTTTTTGCTCGCGGTTCGAATAAAATTATCTCAGTTAGAGGGGAAAGGGATGGAGAAAGGAAGCGGACGTAGTGCACGGTGCACCACTGCCTTCGGTAATGCTTGATCGCAATGACATGCACGCAGTCAATGGGTTCGACTCCCCGCGTCCGCCTTGTCTTGCCCCGTTTTCTTTTTCGTTCACAGTGCAAATGAAATTATCCGAGTTATAGGAGAGTGGTAGAGGAGAGGGAGCGGACGTAGTGCACGGCGCACCACTGCCTTGTGTAACTCCTTCTTTCGTGATCCAATTGCAAGCAGTTGAGGGGTTCGACTCCCCGCGTTCGCCTAGCAGATTCTCTCCCCACTTTTTGCTCAGAGTCTGAATAAAATTATCTGGGCTCTCGAGGTGTAGAATGGAGGTGGGAAGCGGACGTAGTGCACGGCGCACCGCTGCACTCTATATTGCCATGACTACGAGCTGCAAGCAGTCGAGGGGTTCGACTCCCCACGTCCGTCTTCGTTTGGACGACCCCTCTTTTTTCTTTCACAGCTTGAGAAAAATTATCTGAGTTCTCTAGGTGCAGAGTGGAGGTGCTAAGCGGACGTAGTGCACGGCGCACCACTGCCTTTAATTTGTCGGTGGTATGAAGCTACAAGCAGTTGACGGGGTTCGACTCCCCGCGTCCGCCTCTCCCACCGTTACACCACTTTTTTTACTCAGAGTCTGAATAAAATCATATGAGTTAGAAGGGAATGGAAAGGAGGGAGGAAACGGACGTAGTGCACGGTGCACCACTGCCTTCTGTACTCGAGGAAGAAGCTCGATGCAAGCAGTTGAGGGGTTCGACTCCCCACGTCCGTCTTAGCGTCCATTGGTCTGCATTTTTTAAATCCCGCACCCAGGGCAGAAAAGTCGGATATATCCAAGCGTAGAACAGAGAAAGGAAGCGGACGTGGTGCATGGTGCACCACTGCCTTGTATGAGGAAGTAGGTGCGAGATGCAAGCAGTTGGGGGCTCGACTCCCCGCGTCCGCCTGATGCCTTGCGCATTCGTCTTTTATCCAGTGCTGGCTGAAGCAGGGAAAATATTTAGGTCGGGAATGGAGGTGATAAGCGGATGTAGTGCACGACGCACCACTGCATTTATTAGAGGTGGTCAAAGGATTGCAAGTAGTAGATGGGGTTTGACTCCCCGCCTTCATCCATCCAGACCACTTTTTGGCTCAGAGTCAGAATAACGTCCTGATTGGATATGGATTGAAGGAAGGGGGGAAGCGGACGTGGTGCACGGCGCACCACTGCATTTATTCGGGAGCCAAAGTAATACAAGCAGTAGTTGGGGTTCGACTCCCCGCGTCCGTCCTCGCTTGGACGATCCTTCGTTTTTTCTTTCACAGTCCGAATAAAATTATCTGAGTTCTCTAGGTGCAGAGTGGAGGTGGTAAGCGGACGTAGTGCACGGCGCACCACTGCACTCTATGTTGTCCATTATTACGAGTTGCAAGCAGTCAAGTGGTTCGACTCCCCGCGTCCGCCTCACCCACCAATGCTACACCTCTTTTTGTCGTTCACAGGCCAAATAAAATTCGCTGCATTCCCGCAGTTCTGACACTGTATGGCATTGTTCACGGTAATGATCTCGAGCCTGAGCTCCTATCAGTGGCGATCCAGGGTGTCATCTTATTTCGACATTGCCTACCCAACTGACTTTCGACCTCCCCTACCCAGCATGGAAGTTGAATTCCACGCGGGCCAACTATACTGCTACCAGGTGCCGCCCGGTACAATGGAGCCGTACCTAGTTTTATTCTTGCAGAAGTCTAATGTCAACCTATGGTGGCTGCCTGACTTTCGGTGCTTTGGGTGCGGTTCAACTTGGTAGAAGTTAAGATCATTGGGTGACGTCATCGATCATCACTGCGTTTGATCTTGGTTTTGGCCACTCTGTCTTTTTCTCTGAACTTTCTCTGAACTTTCTCTTTCTTTTCTCTTCAATCCTCTTTCAAACTGGCGGACGACGTCCTCTGTGGTCTGCCTGCGCCCTGCGTCGGCCACCGCATACTCAACTCCCCGTCGAGGCGAGTACGCGCACACTCTTCTGTGCCTTCGCGAGCTTAAAACTCTTTGTGCCCGAATGGGAATCGCACCATCTCGCGGGAGAGCCCCGGCGACGATCTGCATGCCGTTGCCCGCAGATCGCAGTGTCCGCGTGCGTCATTACTGTCAGTACTTCAATATTTTCTTGGCCGACACTTAGAATGCAAACCGTTGCTCAGATCGACGCATTTCAGTGCTGTCATGTCCCCGTGCCCGATCGCCCTCACTCCAGTCTTCTTTTCCTTTTCCTTCATCATCATCATCGTCGCCTTCATTCTTGGATATAGGATGGGACGTCCCCCTGAATCGTCGCAAGCTGACGTCGACGGCGCCAGGCCCGCTCATTCATGCCCAGACTCATCGCCACGCTCTGGCCGCCGCAATGCGATGCCTCCGAGTCAGCCTCCTCTCCCCTCCCTTCCCAACATCTCGCGCCCTCCCACTGGCTGTTACATATGCACATTCATTCATCGAAATCGGGTGGATCCCACGCCCCAATCGCCCCCACCTGCGCGCCGCCGCCACCTCCCTTACGCACCCTTCCTTAAGTTACGCATCCCGCTTATTCATCCTCTCTTATTCATTCGCCCATTCGCGGTGTGAGTAACCGAGAGGATGAATGAATGAGGTTGGATCGACGGGGTGCTCATCCATTCATTCGATGCATGTCAGTACACGCCCGTACACCGGATTCCACCAAGAACGTTCTCGGCAGGGAAGCGCCGCGGAGCCGAGCCGCCCCGTCTCCGTCTGTGTGTCCACTTCCCTTCTTCCCGTTCCTTCTGCTGCGCGTGTACGAGCCTTCTGTCTCCAAGTATTCCTGCCCGCCTGCCCCAATATCGTGAACACTACGTATTGTTTTGTTTTGTGGTGTACCCCAGCCTCCGAGTCAACCACCGTGTTTAAACTTTAACGTGAATAAAATAAAAATCCTGGCATACCTCGCCCTAGCCTGCTGTCCGGTATATCCAAGCGTAGAATAGAGGGAGGAAGCGGACGTAGTGCACGGCGCACCACTGCATTTATTGCGGATGTCCGAAAGATTGCAAGCAGTTGAGGGGTTCGACTCCCCGTGCCCGCCTAGTCGTTCTGTTAAGATTTTTTCCCTTTCGGAATGCAACGAAGAAGGCCGAATGAGTGAGGTGCAGGGAGGGAGGTGGTAAGCGGACGTAGTGCACGGTGCACCGCTGCCTTCTATAGTTATTCACTCGGCACACTGAGATGCAAGCAGTGAATAGGGGAAGTCAAACCGGTCGGAGAGGGCCGATTCTTGATTCGATTCTGAGCTCGATTCTTGTCAGAATCGATGAGCAGAATCGGATGAGAATCCACCCAACTCTGACCGACTTGATTCGGCACTCGATTCTGCAGTGGCTTACGGCATCGATTCTTGACCATCAGAATCGATGCAGTGGCAAGAATCGACGCGAGAATCGACGATTCTGATGCAGTTCCTCCTCCGGAGGAGGAACATCGATTCTCGTCGATTTTGCTTCAGCGTCGATTCTCGACGGATTCTCGACCAAGAATCGATCCGAGAATCGAGTTGAGAATCGAGCCAGAATCTGCCCGTCCTGACCGCTTTGACTTCCCCTAATGGGGTTCGACTCCCACGTCCCTTTCCCAGTGCAACCCTTCTTTTTTTGCTCCCAGTTCGAGCAAAATTAAACGACTTAGAAAGGAATGGAAGGGAGGTAGGAAGTGGACGTAGTGCACGGTGCACGACTGCATTCAATTATTATCAAGAGATTGCAAGCAGGTAGAGGGTTCGACTCCCCGCGTCCGCCTAACCAGATTCCCTCTCTGTTTTTTTCTTGTTCAGGGTCAGAATAACGTCCCGTCCGCCTGAGCCTTTTCTACACCACTTTTTGCTCAGAGTCTGAATAAAATTAAACGAATTAGATCGGAAAGGAATGGAGAAGGGAAGCGAACGTAGGGCACGGTGCAAGCAGTTGAGGGTTCGACTCCCCGCGATCTCTTTCTACTTCCCTTCTACTTCCTTGCGGATCTTCGAGAATGATCACTACATTCCCCCTTCTACCACCATGTCGCGCACACGAGACCTTGATTTTCGATGGGTGACGACGTGGTAGGCCATGGCACCACAGCGAGACCTTGTGCTCGACTGCGAGTGTAAAATCACTCAGGTTAATTGTCCAAAATGCGCAGAATTGCTGCTAGACGTGTATGCCAGGTGACTGATTCATCAAATGATGAATTCCATGGCTTGGGGAGCCTCAAATTGCAGCCAGAGTGCTTGCACGCGGCTGCCGTGCATTCTACGCGCATCTTGGTCTTTGCGTGGGCTCTGAACTCCAACTTTCTGGGAGGCAGATGAGCTTTCGGGCTGTATCGGACAACGAGCAGCGCGGTCTCACTTGCCCTCAGGAGAATATCGGAACTCCTGAACACAGGAGCTCACACTCGGAGTCGGGATCATGTTCAGCCGACAAGACCCACACGAGACATCACAATCAATCACGTCCCGGGACAAACCATTGAGCTGGATAGTGCCAGATGCGATGAATAGAGCTCGAGGTTGCCAAGTTGAACGGGTTCAATGAAAGTTATAGTCGGACGCTCCGAACCGCGTATCAGCGTCCGCATCACGATCGCACGGCCTCGTGTCGCGCTGATGTCTTCCTTCATTCACCTGCCATTGTACTAGCGCCAATCGAGCTTACTGCTTGCAGCCCATCTACTGGCAGTTGACCAGGACATTGTGAATTCAAATATGGTTTGCACTACACAAACACTTTCTCCCTTAACTCTTCCATCAAAGTTGAAAGCCTACACAACTACGAACACAAACTTCGTGATGATGCACATGATGGACTTCCTGTTGAGGAGGGCCCGGAATTTAATATTATTGCACATGACGGCTAGAGCATCAGGTTGTCGTTCTATTCCCGCCTACACTTACTCGTTTCGTGAGAGGATTTCTATGTATTTCTGTCGTATCGTTCGAGGGTTAGACGGCTGTAGAATACATTTAGGCTGATGTATGTAGGTACAGCACTCGTACGTTCCTCAACGGGACCACCGCAGTATATATCCTCCTCCTCCTCCTCCTCCGCGTCCGCGTCCGCCTTCATCCATTTCTCCCTTTTTGCTCGCAGTTCGAATAAAATTATCTGAGTAAGAAAAGATAGGAAGGGAGGTGCTAAGCGGACGTAGTGCACGTCGCACCACTGCATTGAATTGCTGAGAGATTATGCTTGCAAGCATTTGAGAGATTCGACTCCCCGCGTCCGCCTTCATGCATTTCTCCCCCCACTTTTTTGCTCAGAGTCTGAGTAAATCATCTCAGTTAGAAGGGGTAGGAGAGGAGGGAGGAAGCGGACGGAGTGCACGGCGCACCACCGCACTCTGTAATCGTGTCACGTCGCAGAAGTTGCAAGCAGTTGAGGGGTTCGACTCCCCGCGTCCGCCTTCGCTGCTGTTGGTTTTCTTTGCTCGCAGTCCGAATAAAATCATCTCAGTAAGAGGGAAGGAAGGAAGGAAAGGAAGCGGACGGGGTGCATGGTGCACCACTGCATTAATTGAGAATTTCTCGAAGCATTGCAAGCAGTTGAGAGGTTCGACTCCCCACGTCCGCCTCACCCAATGCTACTCTTCTTTTTTTTCGTTCACAGAAATAGATTATCTCAATTAGGTGGGAGAGGAATGGAGGGAAGAAGCGGACGTAGTGCACGGTGCACCACTGCCTTCTATATTGAAGCACCTAGCGTATGCAAGCAGTTGAGGGGTTCGACTCCCCCCGTCCGCCTTCTTCTGTCCCTCCCACTTTTTTTCGGTCCCAGCTCGAATAAAATCATCTTAGTTGGAAAGAAAACAGTAAGGGAGGTAGGAACCGGACGTAGTGCACGGCGCACCACTGCATTTAATGGAGAGATTGTCGAAGGATTACAAGCAGTTGAGGGGTTCGACTCCCTGCGTCCGCCTATCAAAGCCCTCATCTGGTCTTTTTTTGCTACAATAAATACCGCAAGTGCCAGACGAGCTGGATAAATTGACGAATGGAATGAAGGTGGTAAGCAGACGTAGTGCACGGCGCACCACTGCACTCTATGATTAGGCAGGACGGCCAGATAGAAGCAGTTGAGGGGTTCGACTCCCCACGTCCGCCTTTCCCGTCGCGAAGCTCTTTTTTTTTCGTTCACAGTCCAAATAAAATCATCTCAGTTAGAAGGGAGAGGAGTGAAGGTAGGAAGCGGACGTAGTGCACGGCACACCGCTGCACTCTGTAATTTGTTATGGCCGCCAGATGCAAGCAGTGAATGGGATTCGACTCCCCACGTCCGCCTTTCTCTTGTCCCTCCCACATTTTTTTTGCTCACAGTCCAAATAAAATTATGTCAGTTGGAAAGAAAAGGAAGGGAGAGGGTAAGCGGACGTAGTGCACGGTGTACCACCGCACTCTGTAACCGTGCCATGTCGCAGAAGTTGCAAGCAGTTGAGGGGTTCGATTCCCCACGTCCGCTTAAGCTTGGATATTCTTTTTCTCTCGAACTGGAAACAAACTTATCTGATTTTTCGAGAGGTAGAATGAAGAAGGGAAGCGGACGTAGTGCACGGCGCACCACTGCCTTCAATAGTGAAGCACGTAGCAGGATGCAAGCAGTTGACGAGGTTCGACTCCCCGCGTCCGCCTAGTCTTAGATCAGCTCTTTCTCTCAAACTGAAGACACAATTATCTGAGTTGTCGAGGTGTAGAGTGGAGGTAGGAAGCGGACGTAGTACACGGCGCACCGCTGCCTTCTATGTTGATGTTGTGAGCGCGCATGATTGCAAGCAGTAGATGGGGTTCGACTCCCCGCGTTCGCCTTCCTTCATCCAGACCACTTTTTGGCTCAGAGTCAGAATAATGTCCTGGTTGGACGCGGATTGAAGGGAGGTAGAAAGCGGACGTAGTGCACGGCGCACCACTGCACTCTATATTTGTTGAACGAGTGCAAGCAGTCAAGGGGTTCGACTCCCCGCGTCCGTCTTCCCTTTGACCACCCGTCTTTTTTTCGTTCACAGTCCCAATAAAAATATCTTAGTTGGAGAGGCAAGGAATGGAGGGAGAAAGCGGACGTAGTGCACTGCGCACGACCGCACTCTGTAACCGTGCCATGTCACAAAAGTTGCCAGCAGTTGAGGGGCTCGACTCCCCGCGTCCGCCTATTGGAACCCTCATCCAATCTTTTGTTCTACAATAAATACTGCAAGTGCCAGACGAGCTGGATAAATTGAGGGATGGAATGGAGGTGGTAAGCGGACGTAGTGCACGGCACACCACTGCGTTTAATTAAAAGATTATCGACGGATTGCAAGCAGCTGAGGGGTCCGACTCCCCGCGTCCGTCTTCATTTGGACAATCCTTCTCTTTTTCTTTCACAGCCTGAGCAAAATTGACGAGTTAGAAAGGAAAGAAATGGAGGGAGGAAGCGGACGTAGTGCCCGGTGCACGACTGCATTTAATTACTGGTGCTGTAGCAAGATTGCAAGCAGTTAGGGGGTTCGCCTCCCCGCGTCCGCCTCACTCTCGTCGTCCCCACTTTTCTTTCCCTCGCAGGCTGCAGCTCTAATAAATTTATACGAGCTATAGAGGTGTAGAACAGAGGGAGGAAGCGGACGTGGTGCACGGCGCACCACTGCATTCTGTACTCGAGGTAGAAGCCAGATGCAAGCAATTTGGGGTTCGACTCCCCGCGTCCGCCTAGTCTTTCTGTCAAGGTTTCTTCCCTTTAGGAATACATCGCAGAAAGCCGAATGAGTGAGGTGCAGGGAGGGAGGTCGTAAGCGGACGTAGTGCACGGCGTACCACTTCCCTCCATACTCCTTCAACACGCGACTGCAAGCAGTTGGGGATTGACTCCCCACGTCCGTCTTCGGTCGAGTCGTAAAAACTTTTTTTTTTCGTTTCACAGTTGAAAATAAAATTATAGGAGAGAGGAATGGAGGGAGGAAGCGGACGTAGCGCACGGCGCCCCACTGCCTTCCAATTCTGGTACGCGCATCGATGACTAGCGACTGCCGCGGTTGCCACTGGTCGCGAGTGATTTTTATATGCTCACCAACGCATTGATTGATAGAATCAGCAAGACATGAAACATCCACCCCAGGATCCTACCGTGTCCAGACGAAGTGCTGTATTCTGCTGACTGATGCTTGTGTTAAGTTCCAGAACCCATGGGCCACGGTAAGTACTCGCCGTCGTTCCTGGAATTCGCCGCAGGAGTTCCATTGGTTCCTGTCAAGGGGTACCCGCCGGAAGAAGCCGAGACACAGCCTCATAGAGTAGGGTGGGTCTGGACGCCCTTATTTCACTTTTCGGAATTTGGTCGGAGGACTCTAAAAATGTGTTTAGAAGGGTAAAAGAAAACCCCGACTTTTTTTACCCGGTCGAAGGTGGGGGAGGTCGGTGAGCGTTCGAACATGACTTTCTGCGCCAACAAACAGCGCGCATCACCGCCTGATAGGTGTTCGATCAAGGCTAAAATGTGAGCTTTTGCGCCCATTTCCGTGGGAATACTTCCCGATTTGGTGCTTCCATAACTCGGCTAATAGGGTAGGGAGGGTCTGGACGACCTTAATTCACTTTTCCGACGTCGTGTAGCAAATGTCAGTGCTGGGTACCCCTTGGTTCCTATGCGACTAAACATTCTCCTAGTGATTGTGCCGGCCTGCTCTTTTTAATTGCTCATGGTTTGTGTACAACTGCATCGATTCTGAATGGCGTGCTCTCAGGTCTGTCAACTTGACATGCGGCGGCTATGTGTTGGCGAAAGGCGGCCCATTTGATGACCCAAATGTAGGGGGTAACGGCCATCGAATCGACGGGTATTCGACGGGCACGGCCCGTCGAGAGGTTGAAGAAATCCTTGACGGGACGGCACGGTCAACGGCCGTGCCGTTGACGGTACCACGGGTATTAACGGGCGACGTAACATTGAATTTTGGTTCGGAAGTCCAAGTAATAGTGTCACAGATTCCTGTACAGCCTTGGGGTAAGTGCGCAGCGTTGCCTCATTGCAAGTTGAACACGCGAGACGGCACCTTGCGTGCCAAACCAAGTTGAAGAACTTGAATGAAGCAAAATTGAGGCTTTGGTTTACCTGGAGCTACTCAGCTATCCTTGAAATGCGGAATCTGACGCCAGAAAGTTTTCACAAACTCTTGAAAGACGTGAGTTTGGGTCAGGGGAAATGCCGTTTCGGCATTGCCCGGGTTGAGATTCCTTCAGCATAAGTCACCACAGTGGATCACAGAGGTTCAGGCAAGATTGAATATCGGTGTGAGTTGTTTCACATACCCATATTTACCAGTGCGGAGACTGAAATAGCTGAAAGACGCCAAGTTTGGAGGCACCCGTCGAACGGCCGTGACGGCCGTTTTTCGACGGCAAAAAACGGCTCACACCCGTGCCGTAGCCGTGCCGTCGATGAGGGTTCAAAATGGTTGACGGAACGGGTACGGCACCCGTTCGACGGGTGCCGTCGAACCGTCTCGACGGTCACGGGCGGAAGCCCCAGACCCAATATTGTTTATACTCCCACGTTTTGTGACATTCGGAACTGCGAGCAACACGGCGAGAGGCTATAGGACTCCGGTAAAGTTCTCATCTTCATTGCAGTCAATCGGCTGGATGCTGATGAACTTCCGGTTCGAAACAGAGTCCAATTTTCGTCTGCTCGGCAGATTTATTTCAGCTTCACTCTATTCTATACCCAGAAATAGATGCTTCTTCCCATCGGAAGCGTTGCTGAACGGGAAGAGAGATACCGAAGGCTGTGTGTTTGATGATACTTGGCTGATTCATTGTTATGCAATCGCTGGCGACTCTTCCTTGCTCTCAACTGCCAAACCATCCTACGAATCCATCGCCTCGGTGCTAGGGCAAGGCCAGAAACCCACTCGTCATGGATCCCAGCGGACTCATCTCACCAAGGCTTCCCCCTGAATTGGAATGCAAGATTTTCACGATTACGAGTCTCTCACGACCGACCACCATCCCGAAGCTCATGCTAATAGCCTGGAGAGTCAAATTCTGGTATGTGGGATCAGGTCAGATGTCTACTGGTTGAAGAGCTTTACTCTCGGGGTTGAACCTCTCCTGTACCGCGTCATTCTTCTCCGCCACAGGCTCGGCTCTATACACCAAATCCTCGGCTTTCCTACATTCACGGCCGGAATACTTGACCGAGTAATCCTGGACAAAACACCCGCATTTCTGCAAGAGTCTGCGAGACATCTGTTTCTCGATGGTTCTTCCCTCCCATCTAGTTTGGCAACTGTACTCACGGCCTGCAATAACGTGACGAATCTGTTCGTATTGTCGAGCCGGCCGAGGTTTATGCCTTCTTTGGCAGCACTACGGTGTGTACAGCGCCTCTGTATCAGTGTGGAGGCACTTCTCAATGCCCCCAACACCCTCCTGCGCACTGTCACGCATCTCGAACTGCTGAGGACATATAATTCCGACACTCGTGATTTAAGGGCCCCCCTCGGGCTCATCCCTCATCTTACACACATCGCATTTCACGGGGCACTTCCCAGCGCTATATTGCTCGGGGCGCTCTGCGCTGACACCCGCCTGCAGTGCATTGTATTTTTCCTGTCGGCTCGAGGGATAGTAGACATCCGATCACTGGCAACAGATATTCCCGTTGTTGGATTACAACTAGAGAAAGACTTGTACGAACACTGGCTGAGTGGGGTAGCCGGTGAGGATTTTTGGAGCGTTGCAGAATCCTCCATTGCCGCAAGACGAGCCTACGGGGCCGAACGTGAGCCCATCATCCTTTTGCCATGATTTACTGATTGAGCATCTCCCTCTAGAATTGGAGATGCAGGATTTACAAGACAGCTGATGTGGAGAAGACGCGCCAGGGAATCCATATCCGTACTCCTGTCGCAGTTTCCTTCCATGCTCATGCTCAATATCCTCGCTGCGTCTGTCACCTGCTTAGGTTGGGTTAACCCAAACACGTTATATCACAAATTGGCTTAAAGCTGCTTAAGCCGGTTAAGCCCTTCCATTAGTATTCTACTATACATGTGATAAAATATTGGGTAACTGGGAGCTATTGCTATGTCTAAGCGGCTTAAACGGCTTGAACGGTATGAAGGATTCAAAGCCGTTCAAGCCGATTGAACCGATTGAGCCCGCCCTTGATTTTCAAGCCAACTGAGCCGCCGCTTGTTGACTAAGCGCTTTGAGCCATCGTCGAGGTTCCGTTAAGCCAGTGAACTCGGTTAAGCTGAATAATCCTTACCAGTTTTTGCAGCGCCTATGACATCACCATTGATATGGGCGTGGGGCAGGGGCGCAGCATGCAGAGACATTGGAGGGTTGGTCCTTGAATGACCTATGAATTTGTTGGGGCAATACACAGTGAGTTGAATAAACCGGGCGTTCCTGATGACAATACTGCCGACGGCGTCAGATGACACCGACGATGCGGGCAGCCACGGGGCATGGAGTGAGTGGCGCCGCTCGCCGGCACAATTGAAGATGTGGTGTGCACGATGTACTGCCGCTTATTGTGGAGGAACTCAGCTGGTAAGCTGGAGCCCAGTGTAGTATGTACACAAGGTCTGGGCAGGCTCAGAAGGAAATTTGAGCGCTGGGCTGTTATCGACTTTATTCCAGAGATTCTTCGGGGAGGATGATGGAGGAGAAGAACGAAGCCATTGTCACTGAGAACAAGAAAGAGCTGTGTGGCACTATTTGGTTTCGCATTCCACAGCCCCTGTCTTCTTTATTTCTCTCCACTTGCCCTCCACACACCATGTTGCACGCATGTCAACTCGGCGCCGACCAAAAACCTCACTTCCAC